ATGTAAACCGCTCTGATGGAAAGCAGATTTTGGTGAGCCCAACACAGTAGCTTCCGTGCAATGTGTAGCATCTGGGCTGAACGCACACCCCCCTGGCGGTTTATGTACGCAGCAGTCACCATGTTGTCTGTGTGAATCAACACGTGTTGATTCTGTAGCACGGGAGCAAAATGCTGAATCACATTCAGCACTGTGCGACACTCCAAAACATTGATGTGGGCTGATGTGCGGTGGGGCCACAGCGCCCCTACTGCTTGAGATAGGCATGTCCCCCCCCAACCTGACAGAGACGCGTCCGTGAAGACTGACACGTGTGTCGAGGGTTTGCTGACGGGGACTCCCTCTGACAGAGCCAGGGTGTTTCCCCAGTGTCGGAGGTCTGCTCTCACGGAGGGAGGGACAGTGATCATCCGTCTCTTTTGTTTTACTGGATCCACACGCAGGCGCGTAAACCACCTCTGGAGGCGCCTCATGTGTAACAAACCCAGCGGGACCACTGTGTGGGCTGATGACATCATTCCCAACAGCTTCATGACGGAGACAGCTGTTACCACTTTGCCAGGTCTTACGTGGCGTAATTGGTTTTTTAGAGTGTCGATTCTTGTTTGTGATAAGCGAGCCGTCATGGTGATTGAATTTAATTCCACTCCCAGATAAACAATTGTCTGGGCCGGGAAAATCGAGCTTTTCTTCCAATTTATGGCGAAGCCCAGATTTAGCAGGTGTGATGCCAACACCTGAGCCTGTATCAATGCTTCCTGTCTGGAGTGAGACAGGAGCAGCAGGTCGTCCAGGTAAAACAAAACTCTCATCCCTGCTCTGTGCAGTGGATGCAGGGCTGTCTCCACACACTTTGAGAACGTGCGAGGTGCGAGGGAGTACCCGAAAGGCAGCCTGTTGTACTGGTACTTCATCCCTTGAAAGGCGAAACGCAGAAATTTTCTGTGTTTTTGGATGATTGGTATGTGAAAATAAGCATCTTTTAGATCGATGGAAACAAACCAGTCGTTTTTTTGGATGTTGTCCAACAGCTGTCTGGTTGTCAGCATGTGAAACGGTCTGTTCATGATCGCTTTGTTGAAAGCTGACAGATCCAGAATCGGTCTCATCCCTCCGGTCTTTTTGGGGACCAGGAAGTAGCGTGAGTAAAACCCTGTGTTTTCCTCCTCGTTGGGAACTCTTGAGATTACACCTTTTATCAGAAGCTCCTGGACTTCTGCATTTAAGGCTGAGACTTGGTCTGGTGATGACAGGACCGTCTCTATAACTCCTCCGAACGGAGGGGGTCGGGTTGCAAACTGCAGCGTGTAACCCTTGCATAACACTCTGTCCATCCATCTGTCCGGTGAGCATGTTTTTAACCACTCTGCGTGACGTTCGTGGAGTGGACGTGCGTTTAAATGATGTGCCGTGTTTTGAACGGATGTCATCCAAACCTCCGCCTCGACCGCCGTCATGCGTCGCGGAAATGTTTTCCGCGTGACCCAAGGCGAGGCTTCCTCGAAAGGGCTGTTCTGCGCGCGCCCGTGCGCTGTGACTGGATCGCGGACCAACCTTCATGTCCGGGCGGGGCGGTGTGTGCTGAGGCGAGGCGTGTGTCAGCTGGTGACGTCCAGAGGCTGCACGTTTAACGTCGCTGTGCGAACGTTGAGAGGTGGAGGGCGTGACGTCGTCAACGCCGTGCTGTCGAAGTGAAGGTTGTGAACTTCGCGGGAGCGCACGTTTTCTCTGGAGGGACGCGCGCCGCTCTCGCTGAGGGCGGGGCCCGTCGTTGGATTCATTCAGCTGTCTCACGCTTATGCCGCCGTGAGCTGCCGATCGCTGAGACGCGATGGATGACGGCTGTTCGCGTTTATTCAGGAAAAACGTGTGTTGTTTTTGCTGAGAGCAGGGACCTCCACCGGACCCGGCCTGCGGTCCCACATTTATCCCGATGTGAGCCGGTGAGCGCCGGGCAGCTGTGCGTGCATCATCGGCACAGTGTCGTTTGGATGGACGGTGCTTGTCTCGCTCGGGTGCGCGTTTAACACCGTTTGAGTGGTGATCGTGCGGTTCTGTTTGACAACAAGATATTTCGCTTACCGTGGTGTCACGTGAGCGTCTGGGCATGTGAAGGAGCGGCGGTGGGTTTAAAAAACCTTTATTTAAGGACACCGGCTCTCTCTGTGTGGAGGATGTGTGTGTAGCGGCTGTGAGCTCATCCGAACTTACAGACTGGCTAAAAACAGGCATTCTGATTTTTGAAAAATCATTTATTTCACTTCCTGTTTCGTTCATACACACATCCCCCGCAGACCGTCATTTCTTAAACCTTCTCCCTCGTGAGCTCTGCGGTTTGTTGGGCCCGAGCGCCGTCTGCAGGCGATCTCTGGGGAAGCGCTGAAGTGCAGGCTGCCGGGCTGAGGAGGGGTGGTCTCTGGCGGGCGGGGCTGGTGGTGGAGCTGGGCGAGACGAAGCTGCTGCTGCCGTGGAGCGTCGGTGCTTCTGCCTCTGCTCTCGACGATCCTTCCAGCGAGCTGGGGGACGGGATGAGCCGCGCGGCTTGATGAGATGACGTACCGCTTCCGACATCTCCTCCGACTGCTTGGAGTTCGCCAGCATGGTCTTCAAGCTGCTTCCGAACAGCGCGTCCGATGAGATGGGGCCCTCCATGAGGTCCTTGTGCAGCTTTTCCGGCAGCAATGGGGAGTGACGGAGCCAGATGGAGCGTTGGATTACCGTCATCCATGAAGCAATCCTCGACAGGCAAACCGTGGAAGCGGCGCACATGTTGAGGACGGCGTCTGCCGATTTACACAGGGAGCTCTTCGTCTCCTCCGGCAGGCCTGAGGCCTCCAGCCTCTTTGACATGCTAAATGCTAACAGCGCCACGTTGTTGTTAGCCGCGGCCGCCTGAAAAGCACACTGGTGGGCTCTGTTGGAGAGCGCGGTCGCCACCTGGTCGTGTTTCCCCGGAGGGACGGGACGCTTCTCCAGCCTGGACATCTTCGCTCCGAAGGCTTCCGCGAGGCTTGGCTCAAGGGGGGGTACCGAGGGAAAACCCCGCTCGGTGAACCCCTCCACTCTGGTGATGGGGGCGTAAGTGGAGACGGGCGCCCTTAACCTACCAGGACCGGCTGCGGCCTCGTTCCAGTACGCTGTCACCGCAGGAAAACGAGGCCAAATGGGATCAGGACGGCGAGCCGGCGTGGAGCCAAACCTTCCCGCAAGATCATCCGATCTGAGCGGGGGGGGTGAGGGGACGGAGAGCCCCTTAACGCTAGCAGCTTCCCGGATAATGGCGGGCAGCTCCGAGAGGAGCGCGCCCACGGCAGGGAGCGATGTGGTCGCTGAGGCGGGAAACCCCGGGGGAGTCGAGCATCCGCTCGGCCTCCCACTTTCCAACACTGCGCTCCCCGGGAGGGAACGAGCGTCGGGGCTGCTGCTAGCGTCACCGGTCCCAGAGGAATCATCCGATTCACTCCGAGAGCCGGCGTCGAAGAAATCCATGGCGTCGTCCAGCGAACAGTCTCCCGCCACGGACAGGCAGTCCTCGATGGTAGCCTTAAACAAGGCTGCTCTCCTCTGCCTTTCCTCCGGTGGAAGCTCGTCACAGAGGCGGCAGGAGGAAGCGCGAGCGACGTGGCGGGGACCCAGGCATCCCTCGCAGGTGTCGTGCCGGTCGAAGCTAAGCAAGTAGCCGGTCTTGCACGAGGGACACAAACGGATGGTGCTGGAGCTGGACATCTCGACGAAAAAGGTCAGTTTATTCTTGTTTATTATGCTTGCTGAAGAAAAACTGGGAGCAGATTACCCGCTCTTAACGTAATTTATACGGATCGGGTGGGGCCCACACAGCAGGTGGGCGTGGACTAATTTTTTTTCAGTACGATGCTTGCGCATAACGGGATAAACCCATCAGCGACAGCCTTAAAGGGCGAAGCCTATATGACATAGAACGGTTTGTTTCAGATTCAGTTTGTGTCTGTTGGACGGTGGCGCTGCTTGCTGCCCCGCCCCCCTCTGCCTCCCCAAAAAGGCGGGAATCACCACGGCAACCAGAGACTGGTTGCTCCCATAAACTCTGTGGAGTTTGAGCAGTTGTGCCACACGTAGAAGTCTTCTCGTGTTTCTCAGACTCAAACCAAACAGTAATTCCAAACGTCAGAGACGACTGTGAGAAAACTGCCGTGCAGATTTTTCTCTCGTGTTTTGTGGCACGACAGCGAGGCGCCGCAGCTCACTGAAAACCTGCAGACGTTTGGAGACCGTTTGAAAACCATGTGAGTCACAGTTAAATCACCAACGGTCGCGGCCCAGACAGAAAAGTGCCTAAACGAGTTTCTGTAGAAGGAAAAGGTGAGCTGTGCCCACTCTTGCAGCCCACGGTGCAGCACTAATTTTCTAAACTACAGTTGTTTGTTCGGTTCAGTCTCACCACGACTCTTTGATTCTTCTCAAGTCGGCGGTCTCTGTGGTTTTTCATACAACTTAAGCTCCGCCTCCATGTGGGCGGGATCGTTATAGAATGACCGCCCAGAACTTCTGCAACGTTATTTTCCATCCAGGGCAAACACGGCACGGCAACGATCTAATGAGTGAAATAAAGTCACAAAACATTTATTAAGTCCTCGGTTCCCAAAAGTAGCGTTTGAGTCGACACCTCCCCGAGTCTGTTTGGTCTAACGCCGTCTGCTGGCGTCAGATCTTCAGCTCAACTCGGCTAGATTAAAACCTCGACCCAGTAGTCTTAAAATCCAAACTGGAAGTGGGTGATGTGAAAGTTGACCCGGGTCGGGGCCATGAAAAAGGCCTTAATGTTCTGTTTCTATCAGAACCAGTCGGTACGTACTGCTGAATCATGTGACTGCACCGACAGCTGTTTTATTTGATCCATTTTACATTTCTGCTGCATAAACATTTCACTTTAAAGACGTCTTCATTACTAAACCTGAACTAATCAAAGTTTTCAAGTGTTTTGCCTCCTTCTTATTATTAACAAACAGTTCGAGTCCCTGCACCCGTGATGAAAGTCATCGGACCGCTCTCGTCAGGCTGACGGCTGAAACCCAACAGAAAAGTGAGATGTTGTGTTGAGCAACCTCAGGCTGGTGTTTTGAAACGTGTCAGGGTGTTGTTGTAACCCCGAGGACACCAGGAAGCTGTGAGGCAACTTTCTCCTGAGCGTGTTGCTACTGGTAGTGAAGGACTAGATGGAGATGAACGTTTACCTCTCCAGCCACTTCCACTGCAGGAACCGGCTGAAGAACATGCTGTCCAGGTAGTCCGCGAAGGGCGCCACGCTCAGGTAGTCGTGGATCAGTCTGGAGGAAGAAAAACAACGTCTGAAGGTCTAAACGACAACAAATAATCATCTATCATTACATTTTTTATTGATTTGGTCTTTATGAAAGGGATCTCTGACCACCTGCACACATCGGCAGCAACACGTTATTTCTGTGTTGTCCAAAACGTTGTTCCTGACACGTAAAAACTCCTAATTCCTTAAAAATTATATTTATTACATTGTTCTCCTAAGGGGAGTTTACTGACGCAATGCATTCTGGGACGTGGGTTGTAGTGGAGACTAAGACAGAAGGAGTCGAGGCTGAAGTTATAATGTGAGACGATAGTTGTGTTTTGTTTTCGTCCTCGTGGACAAGACGTGGGTGGAAACGATGACACGTGATGAACTCGTTCAATTCATCGGCTCTGTTAGTTCATCTGAACCCAGCAGGGGGAAACGAAGGGAACCGGACTTCACTCGGTTTGTAGTTTCCAAGATCTTTCCTCAGGAGCTGGACTCACCTATCGACGGTTTTGGATCTCGTCCTCAGTAATGAGGGTGTCGCTCTGGTCAGTCGTAGTGAAGAAAGCATCGAGTCCAAAGGCAAAGGTCTGAATTTACTGGTCTGTCAACGTTCCAACCCTCACCTGTGGTCGTGAGGTTCAGATCAGGACCAAAAAAACTAGATCCTGGATCCAAGCAGCTGTTATGAGCTTCCTGGGGGGTGGGGGTGGGGGGGGGGGGGGGGCGGGGCTCGGAGCAGAGCTGCTCCTCTGCATTGAAAAGAGTCAGCTGAGGTGGTTCATTTGATCTGGACGCCTCCCTTTAGAGGTTTCCACTGGGACCAGAACTCTCTCTGGTCTGGGAACACATCGAGGCCCCCCAGGAGGAGCTGGGAGCAGGTCCAGAACAGGTCCAGGTCTGGGTTTCTCTCCTGGACCTGACCACAGATGAAGTGGTAGAACATGGATGTTGTGCTTCTACTTTAAGGAACTTTTTTTCAGTTCAAACTGAAAAGTGCTTTCTCTTTGCAAGCCAAACTCACATGCAGATCACTCACTATTCTCCCTTCTAAGGGTCATCAGGGTCTTTCCGGTCCACATGCGTGAGGATTTTGTTGCGTTCATGAAAAAGCCAAATGGCCTAAAACTCACTAAAGATTGAACACAAAGCTGCATCTTACCCTAATGACCCTCGGGAGGGAGAGTGATTTGCACGTTAGTTCAGAGAATCCCAGTGTGGTTTATTAAAGAGATTTTTCATGGATAAAGAAGTCCAGCTGCCCCCGTTAAAACCTGCTGGGTTTACCGTGACCCAGATCCACACAGAACATTAAACCAGGTCTGGTTCCTGGAACCTAAACACTGAAAGATTCATGTGAGGTCTGAAAACACAGAACTTCATTTATTTGGAAATTATTGGATGGAATTAGGAAATCTTGTGAGTCACGGGATTAGAAGGTGAACCACGGATTGAGGGTTTCTGTCGGTTCTGAACGTCAGCGGTCAAATGTCCCCACGTGCCTCTGAGCAGAGCTGTCAGGAAATGACTCAACGGTGTTTTTATAAATGAAGACCTCAGAGGTTCTGACGGACTGGATCCGTCCAGTTGGACCGTCTCTGTTGGTTCTGGTTCTGGCTTTATCAGATCTCAGCTCCACAAACGCATAAAACCGAGATGTTTCCATGTGACGTGTTTTTACTGAACGTCCCCTGAAGACACAGACCGCATTCTTTTTATGGGCTCTGGAAATAGAACCAGCAGCCTCCAGAGGTTCTGCTCCTCTGGAACACGAGACGTTTTCCAGAACTCTTGTAAAACTCAAGAAGTCCGTTTGATGGAAACACATCAACTTCTGGGTCCTGGAGGTCCAGGAGGGACACCCAGAGACACTCTCCAGCTCCTCCTGGGGGACACCAAGGAGTTCCACTGAGGATAGGGTAAGGGTCTCCCAAAGGTACAGGTCTCTGACAGGTTCCGGTCTCTGACAGGTCCTGGTCTCTGACAGGTCCCGGTCTCTGACAGGTCTTGGTCTTTGATAGATCCCGGTGTCTGACAGGTCTTGGTCTCTGACTGGTCTTGGTCTCTCACTGGTCCTGGTCTTTGATAGATCCCGGTCTTTGATAGGTCCTGGTCCCTGACAGGTCCTAGTCTCTGACAGGTCTTGGTCTTTGATAGATCCCGGTCTCTGACAGGTCATGGTCTTTGATAGATCCCGGTCTCTGACAGGTCCTGGTCTCTGACTGGTCTTAGTCTCTGACAGGTTCTGGTCTCTGACAGGTCCTGGTCTCTGACAAGTCCCAGTCTCTGACAGGTCCTAGTCTCTGACAGGTCCCGGTCTCTGACAGGTCTTGGTCTCTGACAGGTCCTGGTCTCTGACAGGTCCTGGTCTCTGACTGGTCTTGGTCTCTGACAGGTTCTGGTCTCTGACAGGTCCTAATCTTTGACAGGTCCTAGTCTCTGACAGGTCCTGGTCTCTGACAGGTCTTGGTCTTTGATAGATCCCGGTCTTTGATAGGTCCTGGTCTCTGACAGGTCTTGGTCTTTGATAGATCCCTGTCTCTGACAGGTCCTGGTCTCTGACTAGTCTTAGTCTCTGACAGGTTCTGGTCTCTGACTAGTCTTAGTCTCTGACAGGTTCTGGTCTCTGACAGGTCCTAGTCTCTGACAGGTCCCGGTCTCTGACAGG